CACTCTCAGAACCCGTGAGGCGGCTCAGTCCCTGACTGGATTGCTTGGAGCCCAGCCTTTGGTTTGAGGGAATTTGAAATTTGAAAAGAAAAAACAACCCCTGCCGTCAGAGGCCCCTGAGTAGTGCACGCAAAACAACGGATCCCTGGGGCGTCACTTGCACCTGACAAACCCCTTGGTTTTGCTTCTAAAAAACTCCCTTGGTGTTTGTTGCAGTACTGCCCCCCTCGCACATTTTCGCAGGTGCAAAAATGTAGGTTTGCCCACCCCACCCTCCCCTCAACTCGATGGCAAGTTGGAGCATGGGGGGATTTCCATAAAGGGGCTGGGAAAGGTTCTGGGAGCTTCCCAAATTGCTTCCCCTAAGAAATCTACTTATGTCTTTATAAGAATCCTGGTTATGTTTAGATCATGATTATACACTTACGGGATTCTGGAAATCTGCGGTAAACCTAATTTCTCAAATGACAAAAGCTAAGATCCCAGCGTTAAAGAGACTTGTCCAAAGTCTCGGATCCTGTTGGCAGATTCTTAGAAGTAATTTTATTTCTCTCATCAAGATTTTAGGAGTTCCTTTATCATCTTTCTCTCCATTCCCCTACATCAGGATTTCTCAGGTAGGTTATATACCATCTGTATTACAATCACCCGGGATACTTGTTCAAATGCTTCTTCCTTGCATTCCCCAAACAATTTTGGGGGGGATGTGTATGGAGGGCTGTGGCGGGGTGTACACAGGGTATATTAGGGATAGAGAAGCTTGGGTCTCTGAAGAATGTGTGGAGCTGAGCTTCTAAAATGCCCACAGACTGCTTACCTGTGGGCTTTTTTTATATGAGAAAAATAGGAGCCTCTGCTAACTTACTCTTACAGCTGAGTCTAATCCTAATGGACAGGATGAATGTCACAAAATGCAATGAAATGAATGTATCACCACTAAAACATGAAATAAAATGTTTCCACTTAGACAGATTCTCTGTCTCAGGAAGCTTGCTTCCCTCTGCCCATGCAGATTCATTTATTCCCACTAAAATGTAAGTTTCATGGCAGAGATCGTATCTATAAGTCTGTCCACTGCTGTATCTCCAGCTGCCAAACAGCATGTGGTAGGAATTTAGTAAGTAGTTGGTGAATGGATAAGTTTTTTTTTCTAATCACTTAAAAGAAAGCTTGTACATAGGTGATACAATCCAATTATCTTTTCTTCCTCGGAAACTTTTTATAAAATCTCTCTGCATGTTTGTCAGATTAATTTATCCTTGAAGTGTAGCCATTCTCCCATGCTATGCCTAGTTGTCAGTCTTGATTTCATGAATCTTGATTAATAATACTCCTTTAAAATTTCTCGGTCTTCCTCCCTCCTTTAGAAACTTTATTATTTGGTCTCCTGGATCGATCTTATTTCCTAATGCCCTTCCTTCTATAATTTTTCTTTTCTTTAAGTTTCTGAGAGAATTCTTCCAACTTAGGTTCAAACTCACTGGTCCAGTTTCCTTTACTTCCTTATGTTTTATAGTAACTCACTATAAAGTGCTCGAAAATGAACCTCTTCTTTTAACTGCTGATTTTTTTCATTGTTGCATTGGTTTTCTTTAATTTATGGATTCTTATAAGAGACTTAAAACATTTACCATGTGTAACTGAGATGAGTCTTAGTCAAGACTGGGTAAGTACAGGCAAATGTTTAAAAATAACTACCTTTTACTTTCTCTGGATCCCGCATTCTCAAGTATGTAGACAGCTGCTATAGTTTAGAGTTAGAAGTATAGTTAACGTTCATTGTTTTGTCTGGCAGTTGACTCTCATTTCTTTAGGGAATGCAGACCTCCTTATTTGGAGAACTGCTACTATAGCGTGTATTCTGAATAGCCTCTTTGGTCTTCCTTGCTCCCAGGAATGAGCACAGTATCAATATCCAGAATCATAGCGTTCTGCTCCCCTGACTCATCGAGGTGGTCCGTTGACCAAGCGGAGTCAAGCAGAGTCCTATGAGATTTTTTTTTCTTTTTTCCAAACTGGGTGAAGAGGAAAGAGCCTTGTCTTTCTGGTGATTAAATTGAGAGGATATGAGCCGGAGCCAGTGGTGTCTATAGTTACAGCAGGATGGAGACTTATAGTCTGGTAAAATGCACTGATGCCTAAGAGAAACAGAAATGAGAGCTAGAAAGGGTTAGTTTTAGTCTTTCTGAGGATAACTTACATGCCCAGAATTTGATTAATACATATATATATATATATATAATTTTTTAGTTTGTTTAGATGTTTGTCACCACCCAGAGATCTCCAGTAAAAGAGAATTTTCGAGAATATTAATGACAATGATGTATCTCAGGGAGGATGCTACTTAACTCTGTGGTAAGGTTTTATATCCTTGTAATATGTTGCAAAGCCCTATACAGATAACGGAGAAGCCGTATAACTGCATTGGGGAGAGTATCAGGATTGCTCACAATCAGGTGCTGGCCTTCCCTGAGGAGCTTCTCAGATGTTTGAAAACTAAACAGTTTTTGGCACCTATAACTTTTTGTGTTTAGCGGGGAGTTTTACCTCCTGAGACTGTGTCTGTGTTTAGTACATGATAATAAAAGTAATACAGTTTTATAAATTATATCGTGCCATTAATGCAAAACTTTAATTTTTCCCTTATAGCCATGCAAGAAGTAGTTTTCTCTCAGGTCTTCCTTTACTTGACTTGCTTTTCCTCCTTTATCTTTTGTCTCTTCTGGTGGAGAGGTAGCCATAAGGGAGGAGGCTGTAGGGAATTCTAGTCATACCATATGCCATTTTATAGACTTCTACTTTTCTTTAAACTTTAATGCCAATTCTTTATTCTCTTTTAACTCTGCTTTGTCAAGGTTTATACGGTCCTGCAGGGACTGAAATTTATTAATGAATTTCAGTCAGTGTATGTGGAAAATGCTAATGTAATATACAGCCATCAAGTGTCTGAGTTTGCCCTTGTTTAATGTGATTTTTATGTTTTTCAATTAAAGATGGTTCATTAAAAATCAGTTGGTCTTTAGCTATATAATCACACATGTGTAAGACATTATGAATGTTTGTACATATGTACAGGGTGGGGCAAAAATAGGCTTACGGTTGTTCATATGTAAAATAATATGATAATTAATAAATAATACAAGAATAAACCGTGTTTCATGTAATCACAACTGTAAGCCTACTCTTGCCCCACCCTAATGTATGTATGTATTGCCAAATCATAAAAAAATCCTTTGGTGAACTGCTCTGTAACTATAGTATAGTATGTACACGGGAAACCTGGTAAATTCAGGGTATGACAATAACATTAGTAGAAGGGGATTTATAGAGGAGGGGTCAGTTTATGAATTTTTTGGCAAGAAATGACTGCATGAAGTCTGTAAACGGCTGCCTTGAAGGAAATTCATAGAACAAGGAACGTTATCTCCTCGTGTAATGGGCATTTATTGATTGTTTACATAGCACTCCTTTCCCTTCTCTGCTTTCCTTATAATTCCCAGATTTTTCTTAGGCATGTCACCCCTTTCATGCCTGGTCCATAAGTTCAGGGAAATACATTGCTGCCAGCTCAGGTGGTAGACCTGGGTTGCCTTAAGCTAATAAGAACATTAAGTGCCCCTAGATGCAGTTGTGTGGTTGGATTTAAACTAATGGAAATGTGGAATCTTCTATATTTTATAAAAGTCCTTGCAGCTCCTATAGGAAGGTTTTGGAGTTAGCACAGCTGAGGATGGCTAGCAACTATAAAATATCTGGCAGATACTGTTAGTGAGGGGGAATAATTCCAAAATATAATTCTTACGTAGTTGGGATATGAAAGTTAGGAAGTTGTGCTAGAATCACAGTAATACCTAATCAGAAGGTCATCTTGCAATTTCAGTATAACAGGAATCATTAGTGGCATGTTCCAGGAGCTTAACTGGTGAGGTTCAAGGATCTATACATAAAAATAGCCCTTCCTTTAACTTCTATTCTTTACCATTGTGCGGACTATTGAATTAAA